CTTTGCTGGCATGGCTCGCTGCGAAAGTTGAGCAATGTTCAACTTTTGATGTCTCGGCAGAAGCGTCAATCGAATCATATGCCAGTACAAGCTCTAGCCAATCAAACCGCTAGTTGTGTGTCAGGGGCGGGAGATTCATGTGATTGGTTGTTGGTCGAGTTTCAAACACGCCTGCCGGCAAGCTTTACGGGCCGTTACTGTCCACCTTTAGTTGCATTTCCAAAATGTACATTACATTAAGCTGACGCTTTTATCCAAAGCGACTACAATTACCAATTACAGGGACATTCTCCCTGGAGTAACTAAGGGCCTTGCTCACTGGCGGTGGTGTTCCAGACGGGATTTGAACTCACAACCCTCCGATCTTCAGCCCACCTCACTATCCATTAGACCACCACTACCCACAAAATCAATCTGCGTACCGTTGAAACATTAGAGTTGTTACTTTTTAAGCACACAATGAATGCCATGTGCTGCGTGGTCGATGACTGTCAGGCATCGGTGATGGACGGCGGCTAATAGGCGCTCCCTTAAGTGACAAAGGACAATAATTGAAAGCGATTAGCCTTCTTTATTACACTGTAAGAACAGGTATTCAGACTTTAAACGGTTTTCTTGTACTTTTACTGGTTCGCATGTACATGCAAAGGAGCCACTCTCTTATTCCATGTACATTTTATGTAAGGCAGGATACCCCTTACATACATACAGATAGTTACTTTGTCATTTGCACATCTACATCAAAGCATTAGTCTAAGGCTACACAATTAGTTAAAACTTTAAATCGAAATTGCAGGTTGGACTACCTCATTACATATTGTCATATTGAACAACTCATTTGTTTGGTTACGTGGTAATATATGTTTTTCAATGATAATGAGAATAATAATGCAAAAAAGTATTAACCCATCCAACATCAGGAATCGTATCACAATTGATATATCAGCCAAAACAAAAACGATTATATATTTTTTTAATCGTGCAGCCCTTTAGCAATACCTCTTTTCTATTGCGGTCAGTGGATTTAAAAATTGATTCACGTTGGTCACACACATCTGTTATTAATCATGACTAATCAAAGAACATTTGTCATGGATTAGTTGTGCCATGACACTGAGGTAGTGATGGTTCTTACTGACGTCCAATGGTCTTGACTCAATGCAATAGGTGTAGTTTGTGCCAATTCCTCTGCTTTCTTTGCCTTTTCACTCCTATGCAATTAAGTTTGTCTTTTGTTATATTTAATAAAGTAATAAAGAAAGTCATATACAAGTGAAATCGATCCCAAATGTAGGAACAGAGCTACTTCATCCTCAGAGGATAGAAAAAGTTCTGCACCCCGAACACAGCTCACAGTCACACTATCGTAGAGAGAAAAGCCAACTGGTCCCACCCTTAGGCAAAAGGGTGGGACCAGTTGGCTTTTCTCTCTACGATAGTGTGACTGTGAGCTGTGTTCGGGGTGCAGAACTTTTTCTATCCTCTGAGGATGAAGTANTTAATACAGTTAACAAGTGGAGGACAGAGGAGGCTCTTAAAGAAGAAGTTACAGGTCTGTGAGAGCCAGAAATCTTGTTTGTTTGTAGGTGACCAAATACTTATTTTACCGAGGAATTTACCAATTAATTCATTAAAAATCCTACAATGTGATTTCCTGGATTCTTTCCCCCCATTCTGTCTCTCATAGTTGAAGTGTACCTAGGATGAAAATTACAGGCCTCTCTCATCTTTTTAAGTGGGAGAACTTGCACAATTGGTGGCTGACTAAATAATGTTTTGCCCCACTGTATGTGGTTTCTTATTTTTCCATATTTATTCCCCCCTGTTTGCCTCCGTGATGCTGATGTGTCAGAATGTGCTGCAGCTCTACCTATGGTGGAGCGAGTGGGTTTGGTCGCGGGGGACCTTCGAGTGCTCGGAGGTGAGGGGGAGGCTGACTTGCCTGAAAAGAAAGACAGATCTTGTGGTTATCAATAGGGAGTTAGCTCGGGGGCGCTACGTTTCTACTGTTAGCACGCATGCTATTTTAAACACAAATTAGTAACTAAGTGTGAAACATGATCTACCAAAAACAAAAAACATTGTAACTGTGTTCATACCCAAGGTAGATGTGATTTGATATCATCTTGTTGATCTTTCATTTTAAAAGGGATTCCTTCTTTTTGTTCATGATTAATAGGTAGAGGGATGTTTGATGCTCTTCCTGCGTTTGGCTCTTGAAGCATAATTTATTTCCGCAGCTTGAGTTAGACGTGTTGCACTGACTCTGCTGTTGCTGGGATAAAAGTCAATATTCGTTTACAGTCACTAATGAGCAAAGATTAATACGAATCTGTAATTAGGTTACTCATTAGCATTGCTAATTGTGAGGAAGCCACAAACTTTATCTAAGAAGAAGTTGACGATTTTCTAATGAAAGGAGGCATCAGAGTGCTCTCTGCTGATGGCAAGGGCAAACGGCAGACAAGGTCAATTATCTGCAAAGGAGCCACGCTTTCTCATTCTGTACTGGAAAAAGATGTGTTTGAGAAACCCTGATGATTTATTCAGGCCTGTATCGCCCACACCTGCTAACATGTCTACATCTAAAGCATGCACACGCTACTTACAAATAACTGATACACATGTCATACCAACCCACGGCAGATTAATGAAACATATATATCCACATTGTATTTGCAGGTATGACATGCCACAGTCTCTACGTGAACACAGATCTACATACTGATGCCAACAGGGGAAGCCAGAGTGGAAGCTGCAAAGGAAAAAAAGGAAGAAAGAATAAAGAAACAAGGGACAAGCAATGCTAAGCAGACATTTACAATACACACTGTGTGTTCAAAGACAGTGCTCAAAGCGCTTCTAGTGGCGTAAGAGAAAGCAGGACAATTAACAGGAACAACGCCGACATGCACACACAGCGATAGCACAGCTGCGACGAATAACTCAGGATTCTCGCACACACACATGTAACAGCTCCGCACGTTTCCATACATAGAAAATGAGTCCCGGTAATCACTTTCTTTTTTTTCTGCTGGCTTTTCAACATGCAAATAGACTAACTTCTAATAGCCAATTAACTTTGTTTTCTGTGATTGTAAGGGTTTCTTCCAGTTAACAATAAGTAATTATTCGCAGTGTGTCTCAACTTTACGTTGTTGTTTTGTGTTCACTAACAAAATGATGGGCTTTTGTCATAGGGTTGTCTGTATTAACCCTTACATTGCCAATAACATGTACTTTTTTTCAACATTACATTCATATAACACTTTTATTACACCCATCTTACACTGTTATTAGACCCACACCTGAACTTTTGAAAGAACACCCATAACATATATATATCAATATCCCAATTACTTGTATATAGACTATTCACTATTTCTACTATATTCTATTGTATTTTATTTACTTTTATCTGTGTTATTGTGTTGCACTGTTGGAGGAGCCTTTGACCTAAGATTTTCATTGTCATAACTACACTGTAGCTGTGTACACATGACAATAAAAGCCTTGAATATTGAATAATAATACACAACAGCAATATTGCAACCATTGTGCACTGTTATTAGACCGATATAACACTGTTATTAGACCGATATAACACTGTTATTAGACCGATATAACACCCATGTAACACCACTATTGACCGTGATTACACTGTTATTGCACCCATTTTACATATGGACACAGCCTGTCAAATGATTGGATCCCCCAGGATAGAGAAACCACTTAAGGGTTAAAAGCACCACCCAATTATTCATGCTGACAATATATGTTGCTGCAGTCCATTTGGACTCAGGTGGAGTTTCCCGTTTCATTTCCTGTCCAGTCTCTCATAACAGCTGCAGTCCTCAGCAAATGATCCGTAATTGAAAATAAAAGATTACATGCTAGGAGCCGGCTCATTATGATTACTTACCCGGCAACTCTTCTCATGATCACACAATTCACTATGAAAACCTTCAGTTTCCGCCCCTGCTCAAAGCAATTTTGTTTCTTAGCTGATTGTTTCATAGCTCACGCTCTCCATCCAATCAATAAGCACTTGCTCTCTCATGACAGTGACAAATGAAAACCTCCACTGCACCCATATGAAATTGTTTATCCACAAAAAATACTTACATGGAGATATGAAAAGCTTGGCTGCCCAGGCATTGATCATATTCCGCTAGTTTTTGAAAAAGAGTGAAATGGTTTGGTCCCCTGCTTCTTCTTCCTGAACGCCTCAAAGCCCGTCTGTGTCTCCTTCGCTTATCCACACATACACCACCCACTCAATTGCTTTCATCACTCACTTGTTTCCAGGGTGGTGGTGCACTCCTCGCTGCTGATGGGCCCGCAGCCCATGGTGGTGCAGGAGCGCAGGTACAGCTTGTATTTGCTCAAGGGCTCCAGGTCGCGCAGGATCCACTTGTTGGTGTCCGGGTTGCTGATGTTTATGGTCTGAAGGGGGCCCACTTCCTCCGTCTCGTTGACTGGATGTAAAAAGAAAGAAAAGAGTAGGGCTGTCAACTTTTACACACGCCATTAATCTGGAAACGTACGAAAATGTACATTACTAAATTTGAACACAAATTCCCCCTCTAATTCCAGTGCAGGTTGTCGTGTCAAATGATCATATAATAATCATTTAAAATAGTGTTTCTCAAACTTTTTCATACCAAGGACCACTTAACCAATAAAAAAACACTCGCGGACCACCTAACTCCACAAATATCAAAAAACACATCGTTTTTCTAGAACAGATTACAAATCGCCTGAAAATGGTACAAACAAGTGGCAACATGTGCGATGAAGGTGTTGCGCTGGGCTATATCATGCAATAGAAAGTGAAACTTAACCTCACTCCATTGCGGAGATATTCCCGCGAGAGTGCGGAAAACTTTTATTTATTTATTTATTTCAAATGTTACCAATATACTCACGGACCACTAGGGGGCGCTCACAGACCACACTTTGAGAAGCACTGATTTAAAACATATAGTCAGGGGTGCACATAAGTGGTACGCAGGTACGCATGCGCGGCAACAATCTGAAATGCGTACCGTCACTTGTGTCACAAAGCGCATTTGCGTACCGACGTACATGTGAAGCTTTTCCAGCAGGCGGTTAGATCACCGGGTTCCGTGTGCACAGACAGGGCTGCTGTTAATGTTGGTCTGTACAGCAGCACTGCGCTTAAACAGCTGATCACAACGTTCCNAGAGCCAGAAATCTTGTTTGTTTGTAGGTGACCAAATACTTATTTTACCGAGGAATTTACCAATTAATTCATTAAAAATCCTACAATGTGATTTCCTGGATTCTTTCCCCCCATTCTGTCTCTCATAGTTGAGGTATACCTAGGATGAAAATTACAGGCCTCTCTCATCTTTTTAAGTGGGAGAACTTGCACAATTGGTGGCTGACTAAATACTTTTTTGCCCCACTGTACATGTTTATGCTTTGTCAGAATAGTTTGCAGTTGCTAGGTGATATGATTTCCCGCAGATCCTTCCAGAAAGATCTCTAATGTATATAGACTAATGCCCTGAGAGGCCAATGAGAGAAAAACTAACATAACTAATAAACAAGAAAATTATTTAGAACACGTGAAAATGCTTTTCCGGGTTAATATTACTCTCTGTCCTAAACGGCTTGTTGGAGCTCCTGCCCCCACCCCCCCCTCCCTGTGAGCCCAGTGTGCTCTGATTGGTCGGGACATTGCGAGGCTCGTTGCTGCTCGCGAGGAGCGGACAGGTTTCCGGGTCGGCGGGACACAGCGAAACTCATCCTGAGCACACACAAACACTCGCAGCCGAAGTAAAAACAATAAGTGTGGCTTTATATTGAGTAAGAAAAAGGTTTATAACGCTGTGAGAATGGGTCTGCGGAGAGAATTTCTCTGCCATCCCAACTTGTCTATTACCAGCGTTCAGGGAGCTCTATGCAAGTCAATGGGGCTCCCTGTTAGTTAGCCAAGGGACCCTGGTGTGTGAGGGGCTCCGCGGATTGGTCCATTTGGGCCGGTCCTTTGCTGTTGATTTGTGTGTTCACACGTCACAGAGCCCAGGAAGCAAACAATGGACAATGAGAAATCTCCAACGAGGCGTTCTGGTGCAGCATAGACAGGTCTTTTCTGTGTTAGAGTTTTACTCGCTACAGGGTGTACTTTGAGGGTTTTGTGACTCTGCAGACCGTTTACATGCAGAAAAACACACAAGGGGACGGGTAATAACCGGAAAAGCATGACATGGGCCTTTTAATGTAATTCTCATTTCAGC